GGCTCAGGCCAAGAAATACAGATATGTTCTCTATATTTTCATGGAAGAAACACGTTTTGAAAAAGAGCATCTGCTTTTTATCGGATGTGTGCGTTTTTGTGTGTGTGTGTGTGTGTGTGTGTGTGTGTGTACTAGCCTATATATGGCATAATATTAGGATATAGGATTTATAGGATTTCTTTTACTAGAGCTGCTGATGTTTTGATTAAAAGAGTAACATTGTGGTACCTCATAATTTAGAAGTTGTATAGGTTGTCCAAACCTGCTAACATTAGCCACCATAATTGCTACCACATAGATCCTAAATGTATCGTATTGAACAAAAGTTTTCATTTTACTGTCAATTCGACAAATGTGTGAAATCTTTGTCTTTCAAATGACACATAATTTCTTAAAACCTGACAAGTTACAGTCAAGCTTCTGAAAAGCTACATCCAACAAAAATAATGTTTACCTTTATTTCACATTTCACTTTTTGTATATTGAATCTAGGGCTCCCTCTCTCCCTCAGGAAAGTATTTTTCTACAATGATGGTTCAAATAAATGTCAGACTTTTGTAATTACAGAGATGTAAAAAAACAGTGTCTAAAAGACAAAACAAAAAAGCTAAATGGAAATTGTTCAAGGATGACGATGGGTGGATCTTGGCTTAGAGGCTTTGGACTGTGGAAACTTAAAGCTTAAAGTTTGGAAACAGCAATGGAAAGTTACAAAATTTAGCTTTAAGCAATGATGTTGACCCACTTTGACGAAGAAGATAGACGTCAAGTTGCAAACTCCTTGAAAAAGGTAACAAAACAAGTAAATTCTGTAAATAAAATAAACCAAATGAACCGTAACAAACAAATGTCATCACTGTCACCTTGGTTTAAGGCGTGCAATAAAAAAACAGTAGAAAATTACATCCCATAGATCCAAGTTACCTCTGAGCATAAAAACAACATCTAATCAGAGCGTTCACACGGCACATTCCACATCGTGACACACACACTAACTCAGCCTGAGGTCCGACCCCACCTGAGCCTGGATCTGTGTCTCAACAGCACAATCACACTGGAATGAGAACCAATAACAGCCTATTACCCTCCATATCCCTCCAGCACACACACACTCACACACTCACACACTCACACACACAGGGAGCTTTACATCAATGGAAATGAAAAAGAACAATAAAATCTCCGGATATGAAAAACTCCTGAGGCAACAATGCATAGTACAAGATGCTCCCTCGTTATATGTGTGTGTGTGTGTGTGTGTGTGTGTGTGTGTGTGTGTGTGTGTGTGTGTGCTTCAGTGCTTTGGAGACATCTGAAAGGAAAATATGTCATAAATCTCTTCCCCCTCAGTTGCAGGAAGAATTTTGATTGTGTGTCTGTCTGTAGAAGCCCAGGGCGCAGTACAACATGTATCTGTGTCTGCAAAACTCAGGCATGTTTACTCCAGCAGTGTTCAGGTGCAACTACTTTCACTGTACATTTAGTAACTTCACACCGTTATATTTTACCACCTTGCATTAACTGTATCTGATGGCTGTAACATACACTTTGCACAATCAGGTTTTATGTAACAAACAATCAATAAAACTGTTATATTGAAAGTCAGCGAATGATGCTGCATACGGCTATACAATACAGGAATGGAGCAAAACCCCAAATTAGAGATCTTGTTATTAATAATAACTTTATTATGAGATGTCATGTTTAAGCTGTGGTGCACAAATTGTGCTGTGGGCTGCCACAGACTTGAAAATTAGCCTAATGGGAATAAACTGATTTTAACATGGTGAGATTGGGCATTAGCTTGGCGGAGGTATGCGCTCTCACTGTTCCTCTTGTTTGTTTGTTTGTTTGTTTATTTATTTGTTTGTCTGTTAGTTAGCAGGGTAACACACAAGGACTGATAAGGATGCCTTGTGGGTCAGGACAGAACCCATTGGATTTTGGGGCAGATGTGGATAAATTAATAATATTCTAAAAGTAAGTGAAAAAAAAGCTCAGATAACATCAATGTTAAAATAAAGAAGCAATATCCTGAATATCTCCTGAATAACCCAAAGAGTCAATGTCTTCATATGTGCACAGACCCAATCATATTACTTTCCATTTTAAAGTCAGATAATTCTTCAGTACAGTTTGGACCTCAGGACTGGTTTTAGTTACTCAGGCGAGGGAATTTTGTATTTTCTCCTCCACTGGAGAAACATAAGTTATGTGCATGAAGCTGCAGTTCAAAGGTCATGAAACACCATCATTCACTTTTCTATGGAGACATTTTCCCATGAGCGTCTTCTGCATTTCTTTTTTTTTTCTTCTAATTTAAGAGAGGAAAGAAAGTAAGAAGAAGAAGTGGTGGAAAAAAAACAGATGACTCCAGACCCCTGCCTTGAATCTCTCACTGGACAGCTCTGACATGTGCTCTGCAGTTTTTCAGCTCGCCTACATTTATTTTTAGATGTATATGCTAAGAAAACGTCAGGCGGTGGGACGCCTGCCACTGTACTGTTGATTCTACCTCCCATCATGCTTCATTTAATCCTTTATTCAGATACTGTAATGGTATAAAGGAGGAAGGTCCTGCAGGACGATACTGGGCTGGTCCAGAAACACCTGTTGTTTGAATGACTGGGTTATTGTAATGATACGAACCATGACTGAGGGTGTTTGTGCAGCGACCGGCAGCACATTTCTCCTGTCAGTGCAGACGAACCCTGAAACTCCCTCTGAGCTTTAGGTTGTTGTTGTTATCACAGAGAAAAAAGTGAAACTTTCAAGGAGAGGGTCCGAATTTCTTTTTTCAGTCTTATCTTAATACAAGTGTGAAAAATGTACTTGTCACTGCAGTCATACCTGTCTTTACTAATGAAAGCTCTGGAATGGTGTTCTACAAGCCTGTATAGCATCGTATCATGTCATAATCTGAGCATAGAGCATAGAGACCTATTGGTCTGGCTGAAATAATGTGTCAGCGCACTTTAACTGAAATACTTGTCAGATCTGAAACCACCTCCAAGACATATTCGATGTGGAAAATTACAAAGTATCACTCTGTCGATTTCTGTGGCTTTGACATAGCGCAGTGCCTCACCTGGTCGCATTGCATTAAATTGCATTGAAGCAAAAGTCATCTGAGTGTTTTTTAACTGGTGCCCAGCATGAGCACGTCCACTGTTCCAATGCCACAGCTGCATTGAGAGTGATGAGAATGATGTATGTTAACACTGATGTTGCACTGTGATAATTCACAGCCAGTGTGAACAGGAAGGTTTTCTTACATTAACTTTGTTCATATATATATGAGGATGTGAGTATTCTACCATGAAAGATCTGAATACTATACTGATTAATGTGATCAACATACAAAGAGAGAGAGAGAACCGGATTCTTCTTCTGTCTCCCTTTCTTGTGTGTGAGAGTGAAAGTGTGCTTGTGTGATTTAGTTCACCTATTGACCACAAAGTAAGTGTGTGTGTGTGTGTGTGTGTGTGTGTGTGTGATTCATTCTGGTTTTGTCACACTGAGGAAGTGACACAGCTGTTAAGGTCAGCAGGATACAGAAGAGAGAAGGAGAGAGAGTGGGTCGTTGTCATGGCGCCCAGCAAAACAATGGAGCGAGGAGGTCGGAGAGGAGACGACATCGCACAGTTTGGACCCTCGAGGAGAGATCACCTCATACTCCGCGCACACACACACACACACAGTCTTCTTCAATAATGGGACGCACACACTGGCAGAATTCACACCTGACAGCTGACGCCCTAAACTCACCCCGCGCTCTCTCTCCATCTAACTCACAGTTTTTGTTGGTGAAACACACAAATCACAACACATGCTCACACACCGCTGACACCGCCTTCTCTCCTCCTCGCTCGCCATCACTTTCATAACAACATTTATAATCATCTACATGACAATCTGTGTGGGGCTCCACAGTGAGGCTCGGGGGTGACAGGGGTTAGCGCTGAAGGGAAGCGGTGCATGCTGGGATTGCGGCCTGCTGAGAGAGTGGCATTCTGGGAGGCGGTGTCCTGCGGGCAGGGCCTCTGGGGGATGCTGTATGGTTAATAGGCCTTTCATGGCCGGCCCACAAAGCCTTTTGTCCCGGGCTAATTCATCCTGCCCAGCATGGAGAGATGGAGAGGGGGGAGGGGCGTCTTGGAAGGTTTTATTATTTTTTCTAGGGGTTGGGAGTCCCCATTTTTTTCCTCCTCACTTTTCGCTCTGCTGTGTGGTGCAGGGTGGCACTAGTGTGAGGCAGTCACATGCAAACAGAGGCCCGCTTGGTAGCAACAACACCAAAACATTGGCAGAAGTTGCAAAGCGCTGGCAAACTGCAGCGAAACACTGGAAAACACTCACGATTAATGACTCCTCGGAAACATCTTGACGCTGGAATACCCTGCTGCGTCTGATGTTCAGTCTGGGATAAAGATATTTGAATGCAGGGACGATTCAAGTAATTAAATATGGCTGAAAATGTTTTCAACATGTCTGCACACAAACACAATCTGATGTGCACGAGAGCCACAGGTGTCACGAAGGGCCGCAGCTCGTCAGTGGGTCGTATTAACGCCTCAGGTGCATCATGGTGGGAGTTCCTGCATTCACAGAGGCGAGACCACCACCAACAGAACCCCCCCCCCCACCCTCCACACGATCAGAGCCTGTGATCTGGGAATAGTCAGTTATTAATGAAGTGGACAGGAGCGGCTCCCCTGGTTTCAAAGTGTGCTGATTGAAGTGGTGAAGAAGAATTCCTGAGCCGGGGACGGGGGTGTTGAAGCTGTGATCACTCTGGTATGGAAGTGTGTCAGTCTGAGTGTGTGAGTGTGTGTGTCTGACTGAGCCCAGCCGTCCACAACAACACAACCCAGCACAGAACTGCACAGCTGCACTAGAGGGCCTGCAGGCCTCAATGGATGGGGGTCAATACAAACTCTGTGGGGACCAACGCATACCAAATCAGGGGGAACAGAGCAGGAGGAGGGGGGAGGGGGCGCACTTTCCCCCTACTGGACACCGTAGTTTTGAGCACATGACATTTTTCATGAGTTTTACTTCACGTTAACGCAACTTCTCGTGCTTTGCGTGTTGCGTTACAACCTTTCCAACATCTAAAATCCTCCGCAGCTGCACGTGTGCACGGATCCGCTGCGTTGAGAAACGCGCAGGACCGAACTCCGGGGATTTTGGGAGCCAGTCAGTCCCCATTGTTCAGATCCCTCCTCCTGCTTGGGAAGTGGGAGGACCCGAAAAGGCGTCGCAAAAGAGAGAATTGTTTGAGAGCTCAGTCATCCAAAAACGGCCTTTCAATGTGAGAACTTGGGGGAGCCGAGGAGAAAATGTCGGTGGCATCGCAGTAAATTACCAAAAAAAGCAGCGAGGCTTTTTTAAGAGGGAAACGAGAAGTTAAAAACTGTTGCTGCTTTTGTTTTGGGACTAAAACTCGGCGCAGAGGAGAGGAAGGAGGCCGGGAGGAGATCGGGTGGCTACAGCGAGGTGCGAGCAGCTTTTTGGTGAGTTTTATCCCTTCATGCGCTCCGTGTTTTTGCGCTGCTACCTCCACTATCAGCGTGTGTATTCAACTTTTACCAACACGTATGCGCGTGTGTGCGTGTTTGCAGTCTCACGGGAGTCTCCGCCAACTTTTACGATCCTTAATTTGCGGGAAAAGTTGCGATTTTGCTGTCAAATAACGACTTCGTGCTGCTGATAGCTACATTTGTGGTTGTCTCAACTTCGCTTATTGATTCACACAAACTTTACTACGAGCTATCCACGCCACGGATCATCTTTACTTGAATGGATGAGCGCGTGTTTGCTTTATCGGTCTGTGGAGTCGGTTTAAAGTAAGAAAAGTGAACTTTACGCACGGACTTAGCCTGTTGTTGATGGGTCGAGCTCCGCGTCCCGTAGTCTCCCAAACACTTTCCTCAGTTTTCCGCTTTTGTTTGTGATCATCTACAACACAATACACGCGTGAGGGTGAGGATCAGTGTTTTGTGACACGTTGCAGAGATTCACGGTTGTGTTTTGGGACGTTTGTGCGTATTTTCGGGGTGAAAGTGTGTCTGCGCTTTGCAGGCCGCAGCCTATAGTCGGTTCCCATAGGGTAACAGAAAACAGACACGGTGAAGCTCTGCCAGATTTACCCCCATGTTATCATATGAGAGTGCAGCAGTGGAGCTGTGCATCAGGAGGCTCCCGAGCGCTGTCCTCAAATCATGTCAGCTGGACGGAAAAGCTGCAACAATGCACATTATATTAAGAGAAGTGTTGTTTTCATTTGAGCAATCAGTTTCCCAATGATGCATCTGCAAATGAAGATTGTAACAGATCCAGATCACATCCTGTTAACTTCATCCTCATCATCCTGTTGTCATGGAACAACAACTCTACCTGTGCGCATTTTGTCTCCTCCACTCTTACACCAAACCCCTGTCCTCAGAATAAGTGAAGCCTCCATTAAAGTGACATCTGCCCATGCAGCGCAGCATCCAGGACAGACCCGCCTCATATCACCCCCTCATTCAAGGTCTGCTTTAATGAGAAAATGTTTGTTTAATCCTCACCGGCCCTGCTAATGAGTGTTGGCCTGGGTGTCAGTCACCGTGGGGGCCCGGTGGAGACACAGAGGACACGCAGGAGCAGGAGGAGGTGGTGGAGGTCTGCAGGAACAGCCGCGGGGGCTCAAGTTTCCAACCCCAGGTGTCGTTTTGTTATTTGGATTACATGAAGCCTCCTGCGCCTCGCATGGAGGAACCTCGGGCGATCCAGTGACAGACATGGCATCAGACAAGAGCGGCCGATTGTTCCCACTGAATCAATGTCACTTGGATTAAAAGTCGAAACGAATGGCCTGGCCTCCTCCAATTAGGCGCACAGCTTATGAGGGAATTAATTGGTCTCAGTAAAAAACAAAAAACAGAGAAGGAGCCTCTTGTTGGTTTGGTTGTTGTTGTTGATCATCTCTGGCAGTCGGGAGGATGAAAGTTGAACTAATTGATTTCAGTCTGATTATCTGCCTGTTTCTCACACTGCCACGGTCCCTTTGATTGATTATGTCATGGATGAAAAAACATAATTATGAGTTCATCATCAATTTGACAGCAGCCATGTACCTGTCACAGTGTAATCACATTCATCTCATCCTCCTGTCACAACATAGGGGTTAAAATACAAGAGCGCAGATTGAATTCATATCGGCACATCATATATACACTTTAAGTCCCCCTCTATACTGTAGCACCATTGTTTTATTAATTCAGCTTGTGAAATTGAATGAAAAGCTCTCAGTCTGCAGTCCACTGCCAAAATATGAGTTATTGCTGGGAAGTACGGAAGTGGTACTGTTGATACTCCTTCAAACCAAAGCTTGAGCCAAAAGCGATTAATCTGCAACTTTTTTGCAGTCACGCAAGTCATTTTCAGGCCAACATCCCATAATTCCAGCCTCACAAATGTAAGAATTCACCTTTTTTGGTCATGTGTGATAGAAAACTGAATATATTTGATTCTTTTCTGATATGTATGATAACAAACTGAATATATTTGGGTTCGGAAACATGGTGTTTTTAATATATTGACATTTCTGAAGTGACAAAGATGATCGTCAATAATTTGCACATGGACTACTATAAAGTAGATTAAATCCATTAATGAATATTACAGGTGAAATCCCTTTAGCTGTGTTATAGTATAGGCTATTATGTTCTTCTATACAGGCTATTGTCATGAATGAAACCTTGAATGAAACTATTTTAAGCAAGAGAAATACTTTTGAGGTGTATGAAAGTCCTGAAAACGTGCACACCCGCAGGTTCAGGATTCTAATCTAACTTCATCGTCTTCTACATACATGCTGATGTCTGTTACCAGGTAGAACTTTACAGTGAAGCCTGATCTTGAAACTTAATTTGATTGATTATTGGTTTCCTGCCAAACAGACGTGTAGTGGAGACTAGTTTTCTGCTTATTTGGCCAAAATCTGGTGGATAGATTTTCATCTAGTCCATAGGAGCTGAGTTTTCGTATGTGTGTCTCCTTGTAAAGAGAAGTTACTGTGTGGATTTAGGTGTGCAGCCAATAGCAATAGTTTCCTGCTCATATATAACGTTTGACTCTGCCATGTTGAGGTATGATGTCAGATATGAGTGGAAGGATAGGATTTAACTTGCCTCTCCAGGAGGTAAATCAGAGCCTTAAGGTGGAGATGGATTTCTCGATGCATTTTGACAGAATAAACAGCCAGCGGTTTTATCATGGACTGCTGCTACTGCTCCGATCTCATGTTTGTGAGCGGAGAGTTTTGACTGCGGTGTGGAAAGTTGCAGCGTTGTTGTTCTAAAGGGTGTAGCATCGGTGTAAATTGACAAAGGAGAAAAAAAGATCCTTCCTGAGGGCATGCTTTCATCTCTGTGACAGCTGGTACACTCCTGCAGCCATAACGGCTTTTAGGCAGAATATGTGAGCCTTTACTGCAAGTGTGTGTGTAGGTTTTTGTGCGTGTGAGTGACAGTTCTTGTCCGATTGGGATTATCTTTGCACAGGAATGTATTGCTTGTCATTTTGGCCCTTAAAGGCTCACCTGCATGATCGTTTTAGGATTACTGAGAGGAAAAAAAGAGGAAAAGAGCATTTGTATGAGAGTTTACATCTTTTTATAATACCAGAATTATTCTGGATTATTCTACTTGTCATAAACTAGCAGGGAAAACACACTCATGGCCAAATAAGTCTGCCTCATTTCCCAGAGCTGGACATTATTGGCCTGTTGACATACGGTGCATTAGTCCTCCGGTGCTGACAGATTGGAGGCTCGGGTACGGGCCGTTGCGCCCCCGGGAGGGTTCCTGTGTCCAGTCAGACATTGGATAACCAGAGAGGGACACCTGGACCGGCAGGTGGCCGGGGTCCAAACCCCTCCCCTGGGGCTGCATACCTCTCTGCTCATGATCTTCCCTGTCAGCCAGGACCACAGAGAGAGGGAGGAATGTAAGGTTTGAAAAAAAAAAGGGGGGGAATAGTTAAGGAGAAAGTTCTGACGGGGAGTTGGATAGGGTGATTATTTAGTACCCTTCCAATAACACAGCTTAGTTTGTGTCATAAATATAATCAGGCTTCCACCTGATGGCTGGTTATTGATCGTCCACGTTCTTTAAAACCTGTTGAGTCGATTAGTTCCACCACTTAAAATAAAAGTGAAGAAGCTCTTGAATGATAATGAAGTTTCCCCAACCACGCTCTCACACACACACACACTCTCTCTCTCTCTCTTTGACACAGGCACACATGCAAACACAAACACACACACACATTGTGAGTGTGGTGTGAGTGCTGTTAGATCATTGATCAATTCCAGACTCTGAGAAGCTGAGTGTGTCTGTGTGTGTGTAGACAAATAGTCCTGTGTGTGCAAAGCAGATATTTGGACAAAGATTAGAGAGCTGTTATTACGAGCCAAAAGCAACCCAGACACTCCAGTAGATCATTCACACACAGGCATGAGGTTGCACCCTGACTGCTCCATTTAAGCCCCCATCACACACTTACTCTTTATTTGCCTCTAACACACACACACACCCGGCTTAATTTGGTGTATTCTGAGTCTACAGGTCAGGTGTTGTGCACAGATTACAACCTGAAGCCCGCACGCATTTCCATCCTTTCACATGCTGCAACTTAAATTAAAAAGATGCACAACTGCGTGTCGTGTTCCCGTCTGGAGCATGTGTGAACGAAACAATAAAAGCATCAGGAAGACAAAAAAAGAAAAGAACCTGGCTCGTGTTCCAGCGCTTGATCCAATAATCAGTTTTAAAGTGTTGCCCCAGAGAGAAGAAACTCATCATCGAAGAATGTCAAACTGGCAGGAGAAGACATGATTCAACAGAATAAATCACTGGGCACCAGATTAGTTAGTTATTGGGCCCCTGAGGTTATCACAGCTGGAATTTTCCATTTGACAGCGCTCGTCTCTGTGTGTCCAAATCGTGTGGTTGTGAAGTTTTCATGTAATGATATTTCGGGGCTCTCTCTGCCGTAGGATAATGCACATCCGAGACTTTGAGTGACGGGACAAATGGTAGCTGTGCTTGACCACATCTCTCTCTCTCTCTCTCTCTCTCTCTCTCTCTCTCACACACGCACAAAAATCCATCCTCTGAAACTGAGAGCTCTCTTTGAACCGAGCCTCCTCCAGCTGTTTCTCCTCTTTAAGAAACTCCTTTCATACGCAGCGGATTTTTACTGTATAACCGTGGAGCAGGAGTCAAAAGTCGGCCCGCAACATCTTGAACGCAGTGGACGGCCCACACCCTCGCTTTGCTGTTCAATTTCCTGCCCCTCTCTGTTTTCTAATTCCTACGCTCATATCTGTTTTTCCTATAACTTTCCCCCTCCGGTCATTTTTTATGACTCCACGGCCTTTCTCCATTCCATCTCCTCCTCCTCCTGCCTTATCTCGATTTCCTAAAGCCTCCTCATATCTGTTTTTCATATAATATTTCACCCGCTC